CAATATAGTCATTTTAAGAAATAGTAAATTAAGACAGAAGTAGAAAAGGATTTCATCTAACTAAAACAAAGTGCATTTCATGTTAAGTAAACCATGAAAGGATAAATTCTCATGATAGTTTGTTTTCTCAAAAGGAAGTTTCTGAGTAGTAAACATTGTTATTATTTGGTAAACTATATCCAAACTTTTATTTTTTTATTCAAAACGACAAGAAGTTATAAAAACACTAGCCACTTTGGAAACACTTTAATTAGAAATACTACTTTGTCTTCTATAAATTCCCAATCAAGCAAGTCATTTGAAATAACAGAAATATATATGATAACTGAACATTCTCCAAAACAATTGTGCTAATTACAGGTGGCCTAAACTTAATCTACATAAAGTCCATGTATACTTTAGTCATTGAAGTTCACAAATATTAAGGTACCATATATATTCATATTATAAACAGAGAGATTAAATTTGGAATTCCAAGAGGTAGCCTGTAACTGGCTGCACTACAGAGAGGGACAAGTGACTACTAATTCATACTGCAGATACAATCAAGAAAAGAGTTATCTCCTGTGCATAGCAAGCTCTTCTGGAAGTCTAGAGAGAATAACTTTTGTTGATAGAAGATTGCAAATGTCTGAATGTTCATGCGTGTGCTTATCATAGTGAAACAAGTTTAAAAAGCACAATTCGAATCTATCTGAGATAATGGGGTTTTCTACAAACTTTCAAAGGCAGATTTACATGTGCCCACCAACGATGTGGCCTATACAGTGTGCAGTGGAGTGCAGTGTTCTACTTGTTTGCAATGGTTTTATTTTTCGACTAGTTTTTATCACACTTGGCATGAACAAGGGAACATGTGCTTTGCTAAATTTGAACTTTTAAGATGAAACTGAATTAACTGAGAACCAAAAAATTGCTTCTGAAATTTTCTAAGATTGAAAATGCCTTTCTTTCGTGGTAGGAATGGCAAAATAAATGACAAATACATCCTGAAAGTTCAGACGTGTGTTAGGAAGGTCCTGTAGTTTTAGAACAACACGGTTGGCTTTTTTCCTTTTTAGACACCTAAATGATAAGATTGGACTGAAACAGCTCTTCCACCCATATAGTACACTTTCTCTAGCAAAATAAGTATACTAAACATAAACCTAAATTAACCTAATATAAATAATAAGTCTGATATAAGCAGATTTGTTTTATTTTCCAACCAGAAATTTTAATAAATTTACCATTTCTTGAAATTTAGTATCTAACCATCAAAGCAGAGATCCAACTGCTACCTTGAAACTTAATCCTGTGTTTTGTTTTCCTAATGACGTTAACTATACTGGCTACAACAATCAGAAGCACCTCTTTAGAGATGCCTTTCCATCCTAATTTCCATCAGCCTCCTCATATAAAAGTGGACCATGATACAAAGGACAGATGCTTCTCTGTATACACAATGAGAGTTCTATCGTGCACACACTTTTAAAGACTTGAAATTCAAAACCATTTTAAAACAAAATCGAAGGAGAAATTGCAGGCTGTGTTTATAAGGATTCTAGTGACAAGCAGTAGGTCCAACAACTGGGAAGAATCAGCTTGTGGTACAGCTTCATTGTACTAATAATGTCACAGTTAGTATATTTATTAAATTAAATATTACCAGCAAGGGTCTTTTAAATGCCATGTTCCTAATACTAGATTATATATTTATTTCAGAGTTAGCATAGTAAGAAGGGGAGCTATCAGTAGGTCTATTAAGCTATGCCCCCCCATTGGATTAATGGAACTATTCAAATCAAACGTTTCACGCCATGCCTTGAACACCACTGCAAACCATACTGTGGGTGTAAAATACACGCAAGGCCGACATAATCAGCTCAGATGAGACCAGTGACTTCTACACCATCAAGTTTACTTCGCTGTGAAAGCAGTGGGGTTTCTTTCAAGGGAATATGTTTCTAAGTGTGATAACCTAATACACAAGCCAAAGAGGGAAAACAAAAAGACATGCAACTTTCAAAACCGTTGATCTAAACTAAGTGTAGTGCAATGGCCAAACCGTTGCCTGTTTTGTCTGACCTCTCAGAGACACTCACATCCTCTTGATCTGGAAAAAGAAAATCTAACTTCAATGACTTTAGTAGTTCACAAAGATTTGAACTGCTTAAATACACAGTTGCTGCCATACTAAATTAGATATTTTAAAAATTGAGTTGAAGGAGCTTCATACCTAAGCTTATCTATTGCTGCTGTTTCTTTCGAGGAAACCTAGACACCACGCTTTTTTTTAAACATAGGATCATAGGTTCCACTTTTTTTTATGCCTTGTCCAAAACGCCTGTGACAGACTAATCAGACACATGCAAACAACGTGCTGCCCTTGAGACCAAGCTGAATATTTTCATAAAATTGCTTATGAACATACATTGTCTACCACTTGCCTTAAACTTTTTAAAGAATGTATATGGTCTCCATTTAATAAAGCTCCGTTCCTAACCTTTATTCTAAACCGAAAATCCTTCGAAACTTCACTGCTGAAGGGATAAATATCACTCCCAAAAAGGTGAGTCCCAAAAGAACTATTAACAGTTGGATTTGCAAGACAATATAACTTCCGGATATCACGATCTTAAGTTCTCCATAGGCTCTAAGTTCCTAATTGCTAACAGCTCCCTTTATTTCAGTTTTAAAAATCAGGAACAATATGATTTGTGACATAAATGGGTCAGTAAGCTCCCCCGCTGATAACTTAAAAACTAACTAAATAACCCCTGTGAGGGGTCCTGAAGGCTACTGAGGCGGAGGCCTGGCTTTGCAGCAGGCTGAGACCCCGAAGGCCTGGCCCTGCAGCGGGACCCCAGGCCTGACACCTGACACCGTCCTGCACGTCGAGGCCCAGGCTGAGGGCTCGCACCAGGCCTCACTCAGGCCTGCCACACTGGCAGCCAAGGGGCGGCATCAGCCTGCACCAGGCGGGCTTAGGCCTCCAGGGCCCAGCAGCAGCTGCGCAGCACTCGACGGACGGACGGACGGACAGCGCGGGGACCGGGGAGCGACCAGCAAGATGACTCGCGGGTGGCCAAGGGCGGGAAGCGGGCGGAGGACGCCAAGGGTGGCGCGCTCCCCTCACCCCTTCCTTCCTCCCTGTCTGTGACAGCGCGCCTTCGAAAGCCCAGGGGACTGAGTTCGCGGGGAGGCTTGGCCGTCTCTCTAGGTGCCCGCGGAGGGCGGCCCGGGGCGTGAACCTGGACGGCCCCGGGGCCCCGGAGGGCCAAGTCCTCCGCCCCGCGGACACGCAGCCTCCTCCCCGCGAGGGGGAGCCGCGCGCGCTCGTGCTGCCAGGGGAGCAGAACGCACACAGCCTCCGAGCGGGAGCGCGTGGCTGCGAATTTACCTCACGCTGACTCAGTCCACACAGCAGATGGCGGAGCTGCGAGGCAAACGACCTCCCCGGTGTTTTTTAAGCTTTGCTAAGAGCAGCGAGCGCGCGTCTTTCGGCACGAGGCGCCCCGTTCCTGTGAAAAGAACTCGCCTCGGAGTCTAAGGGCTTCGCTGACGCACTTGACACCGCTCCCGGGCTCCCCGGGACCGGGGCCTGGGAGGCGGGCGGCGCGCTCCCGAGAGCGGGCCTCGGGGGCGAGCGCGCTCGGACAGCCCGCGGCCACGCGCCCCCGGAGCCCTGGCCCCCCGTGAGCGCGCGCGCGGCCTCCACGCGGCCCCGGGGCTGCACGTGCTGCTTGCTTCTGGGCCCCGGGCGAGCGGGCGGCCGGGCTCCGAGCGCAGCCCCGGCTGGGTGGGTGCATGGTCCCGGGCACGCACTGCTCCATGGCTTGCCCAACACACACACACACACACACACACCGTGTTTTGTACTTTTTGTCGTCGTCTTTACTTCGTAGGTGAGGAGAGGGGAAAGGAAAAACAAAGAAAATCAGTCATCGTTTTTTTTTCCTCCCTCTCTCTTCTCTGTGGCACACAAGAATCCACGGAACGCCGTCTAGCGGCGGGATTATCCAGGGAAGGCAAATCACTGCAATCTCTCCCTCGACCTTTCATTTTAATTGGAATTCTGAAGCCTCTTTACAGCTATCACACCACAAAGGGGACACAGGGCAAACTCAGGTTGTTGGTAAATATAGTTCTGTCACCCCAGGCCAACTCACACTAAAGAAGAAGGTTGAACTAGTCCCTGCCCCTTCCTGACTTCACCCTCTCTTTGGAGACTAAAGTCGAGAAGTCGCCTCTCTGAGGTAAAGACAGAATTGAGCATGAAATTCCTCACCGCCATTTGTTCTCAGGGGTGAGGACCTGACCTGGGTAAAACCGCGGCAAGGATTCCATTACAGAAGAAAGAGTAGCTGCCCGCAGGCATCACCCCTCACTCGCCAGCCCCTCTCCAAAGCAAGTTTTAACTCAGTCCTTAAAAACCACCCTTCCACGTGTTGGTCCTGCGGGTCTTTCTCCACCCCACTGAGAACAACAGTACCTGAAACCACCCTCTCTAGAGACGTCGGCCTTCGAGTGTTTGTATCTATAACCATTTGCCCATCACCTCCAAGGCCTCTTTGTAAAACCCCCTTTCTCAGCACCTGCAACAGCAACAGTTTGGCTTGACTTGCTTTAAATTGCACCCCGCTCTCTCACCTAATGCCTGACAGATTGCTGTGTGAAATCTAAAGAGATCCTTAGCTCATCTAAAGATACTCCTTTTCCTGTTGCTTCAACTTCAGAGAGAATCAGAGTTGGGAGAAAGAAGGTGCATGTATTTTCCTAGAAAAACAAAAACAAAACCACAACAGTAAAGAGAACTACACTCATAGAGAATGAAATAATTGTAAATAAGAAGAAAATAGTCCTTAGTGGTGCCACAAAATAAAACTAAGGGGGCGTAGGAAGTGGTTACTATGAGGCTCCCAGGGCAGAGGGAAGGAAGGGGCTAGCCTTGCTGAACTCTTCAAAGCCATAACCTATAGGAATCATTTGCAGACTGCTCTCAAACACCATGGTTAGCGTTTTACCAGGTTTATTTTACTTGTTATACACAGACGATACAAACGAGCAGAAAACAAAACGATTCTCAGTGGAGTGTGTACTTGTATAAATTATTCGATTCACAGACAAAACAAAACAAATATAAAAATCACAACATTTGATTTACAGAAGAGCCAAAGTATACACACGTTTAGACCCTGAATTCCTATTAGGAAAAATCCCCCATGGACTGGAATCTAGATTGAATATTGTGTATGATGCATATTTCACATTGATTTTAAAGTACAAAAAAAGTATAAGTTTGCTACACAACATTAGAAATCCTACTAGTCTATTTCCAGGGGGATTAAATGCTCCTTATCAAATATAACAAGACTTGGGGGGAATCAGTCTTACTTGCAATAATGCTAGTGTTTTCCCAAGGAAGTCAAATTTCAGCTGTCTCTAAGTGGTGGTGGGGAATCGTTTTCAAAACTAAAATGCAGTAAAATATACAACTCACACAATTCATCTTCACTAGACTACACTATAGTTACCAACAATCCAGTCATCTATATCAGTAGATTATTCATTACAAAGATTTACAGCATAGAAAGGTGGTGTGGGGACTGAGAAGAGAGTCAGAAACAGTTTGTCAGCATATTTGGCACCTGCACAGACCAGTAATGGATTTGGCACTTTGGGGAAAAACAAATAAGGCAAAATAATATTGCTGATGTGGAGCTACTCCATTTAGAGGAAGAGGGGGACAGACAACTCCAGTTGACTCTGCTTTGAGGGCTTCATGCCACTTAACGGGCTTGCCTAGGAACAGACAACGAACTAGCTTTTACAGGTGTTCCTGTGGCGTCCCCTTAGCTACTGCGTGTGCCCTAGGGCACACAGTGGTTACACCGTGCGAGGAACTGAGAAGTGAGAGAGAGCGGTCATTTAGGGAGTGTTTCATGTTTCCAGAGCCTCTTAGAGTATCTTTAATATCTCACAAGAAAACAAAGGGGGTGGGAAGAGCAAGAAAGAAAGAGAGGAGAAAAAGAAAAGAAAGAGGGGGATAAAAAGTTAAGCATGAACTGGTTTTGTGCCTTGACGATGAGAATAGAAACTAGCCATTCGTTACAATAAATTAACACTATATACAATCATTTCACAGGCTTTGTTCCACTAAAATTATGAACATCCCTACCATCCATCCATCCATCCATCCACTCGGGTATAAGAAAGGACGCGCTGGGTGGGTGCAGGTTCTAGAGTCAACATCCTATGGTTAATAGGGAGGCCAAGACAAGGCGGGTCGGGATCGCTGCTGTCTGACAGGACTGCCCAGGTCTCCTAAAGTTGAAGAATTTTCATTCCAAGAGAAAGAAGGAGAAGGTGAGAAAAAAAAGGAGAAAAAAAAGACGGGAAGGATCATAATAATAACTTCACAGAAGAAAAGTTGGAAAACCACAAGGTTCACAGCCAGGTTCAAGGTCGGTGCGCTAACTGCGGAGACGGCTGTGCAGAAAGAAAGAGAAGAGGTTTGTTTTTTAAAAAAAAAACAAAAACAAAAATGGTAATGATAATGGGAGACCTGCACTTATCCCCCGCAGACGGTCATCGAGGGTCAAGTGAAAGAGCGAGTGCGCAAGAGCGGGCCTGGGGAAGGAGGACGTGGGGCAGAGCAGAGGGGCCGGGGAGGGCGCGGGCGAGCGCGGGCCGGGCGGCCTAGCTGTGCGAGTAGAAGCCGTAGTAGCCGCCTATGTCCTTGGCGCAGTTCTTCTCGCAGTCCCGCTGGGCCAGCACCTCGCTCTTGAGCGGGGACGAGCTCTCGGACACCGGCGTGTCGGCGGGCGAGATCCGCCTCCGCTTGGCCTGCTCGTAAATGCCCGAGTCGCTCGAGTCGATGGACTTGATGGACGAGGGCGTCTCGATCCAGCTGGAGTCGGACAGGTCCTTGGGCTTGGCGTCGTCGGCGGCGGCGGGCGCCAGGGGCGAGCGCTCGGCCGCCAGGCCCTCGGCCTCCTCGCCCAGGTAGGGGTTGGCGCCGGCCATGCGCGCGGCCGCCGCGGCGCTGTTGGGCCAGCAGGGCAGCACGGAGCCCGACTTGGCGCCGCAGTACTGCGGGGGGCTGCGAGCGCCCCAGCCCGAGGGGTCGGCGTAGTAGCCGAGCGGGCGGCCCGTGCAGCCCGCGGCCTGCAGCGGCAGCGCCTTCACCCCGGCGGCCGCGTACGACAGCAGCGTGGCCGCGTTGCCCGCGAAGTCCGTGGCCGTGTCGTAGGCCGAGGCCGCGAAGTCCAGCCGGTTGTTGGCCGGCGTCACGAACCAGCGCTGCGGCGACGGCGCGCCAGGGTCCTCGGCCTGCTGCGGCGACAGCAGCCCGTTGGTGTGCGGCACGCTGCGGTCCGTCCCCGGCCCGGGACCCGCGCCGGCGCCCGGGTGGAAGCGGGCCTTGGCGTAGTTGCTCACGAACTGGTCCTGCAGGAAAGAGCCGGCCATGGCGTAGCGGGCGCCGGGCACGATCTGCGAGCGCGGAGAGTCGTTGGGCGAAGGGGTCAGGCGGTCCATGTCGCAGCCCGTGTAGATCCTGAGGGGAAGGGAGAAAGAGAGAACCGAGGGATGGCGCGGAGTTCCCTTGAGGGTCCTGGAGGGAAAGCCACCTCTAGTGTTGCCCACCCGCACACCGTCCATCTGGAAGTTGCGTTTGCCATACAAGGTGCAGACGGCAGAAGATCACAGACCCGCACCCTCTAGCCCAAACTGGAGGGATACCAGTTTAGCTGCAAGACCCTGAGCCGGACACAAAGCGCTGAGTAGAGGTCTTCCATCTTCCCGTTACCGCTAAGTGCACAGGGAACAAGATGAGGGCCTCCATCCACTGATCCAGAATCGTACTCAAATTGTGGCAGAGTTATCCAAGCACCGAGGTGCTCTTTGCCCGTTGGGCCTTTCCTCTCTGGGGAATCTCCGAGTGAAATTTCTAAACAAGTGGCCCACTCTCTCCACCCTTTTAAGACCTCCTATGTTTATTGAGTAGTTGAGAGAATTCCTTTTCTTTTTCTAGGTAGTTTAAGAAATCCCCAGGGAAGAAACCGCAAGGGAAGTGTGAGGACAGACTTGTCCAGGTAATAGCGTCAAAGGCTGACTTTCACTGGCCAGAGGCCCAGAGGATTGCTGCTGGAATCCTCTAGGTACTTTTGTCTGCCGCCTATGAACGCCCTTTAGTTCCCATCTCTACCATTGCAAAAAAGTAGAAGCTACTACTTGGAAGCAACACTTAATAATCAGTAAAATTCTTTAGAAGAAAAAGTGTACTTTAGTCTTCTCTACCCAGCTTTTGATCCATTACTAAAAGAAAAAGAGGAGGAAAAAGGCCCTTTTGGGGGGAACTTAGAGTTAGCCCCTTCCTCCAAGCAGCCCACCACTAATAACTAACCCTTCTTTACAGAGCTTGGAGGCGCAGGGCTGGGCACATGGGAGCTGTTTACATAAGCTCAGGTAGATTTCTTTAGCTCACAACTCTCTTAGGTACTGATAGGGAAACTAAGGCAAAGGAAAGTTATAGAACTTGCCCAGTAATCAAGAGAGGTTGTGTTTGGCGGGAGTGGGGGGGATAACCTTAGATAAAATATTCACTTTAGGCCCTGGGCCTGGGTGATCCCATTAGAATTGAAGTTGGTCAATGATGTGTTTCCTCATAGACATGCAAACATACCTCATTTAGCTCACACATGAGTGTTTGCGTCTTTACTCAGCACACAGGTTTTAAAGTAGTGCCTTAGAATTGTCAGATCTTAATCCTAAAGAGAGACCACTTCCCAGGGTGTAGCCAAGCAATCTTCTAGGACCCCTTGAACTCTCATGCCCCCCACCCATGGATGCCCTCTAATCAAACCAGGCCCAGATTACTAACCTTAAAGAGGAGAGAGTGTGTTAAAACTACTCAACTCCCTCTCACCCCCCCCCCTGCAAAACCAGGGATTCCTTTTGTATAGACAAAATCTTTACAACAAACTTCCACTGGTTTAAGAAAGGGAGGGGCTTATCGAACAGAAGGCAGCCAGAGGACAGGGGCAGATGAGACTTACAATGGCTGCCCAGGGGCATTCTGCTTACAAATAAATAAATGAAATATTCCCTCCTGAAATTTAATTCCTGCTTCAATTTTTTAAGTGGAGGGAAGCAGAAAGGGAACATAATTAGCAATGTACAAATATCTTCTCTGTTTGCCACCACAATATTCTTTAAAAGAAAAAAAAGCAGTCTGAAAAAGATACAGTTTAGATGCCCATCCAGCTCTCAAAACACTTGGGATTACTGAATTGATCTGTGCAAAATAAATGCTTTTGAACAGATGTTAGCAGAATTAAAAGCTAAAAATCTGTACAGCTCTCTTCCAACATCCCTAGTCTCTTGGGCCACATTCTTTCCACTGTTTTGGGTCCATCTTTTTTCATATTTTGAGCCCTGAAGTAGCAAAGTTTTATTCTAGAGAATCACATTCGTAATTTTGAAGGGGGCTGCTTTGAAATGCTTTTGGGGGGCACACGTAAGAAAGTTGGAGTCAGTAGATACCAGTTACTCTCCCACTTACTATAAAAAATATTGAGAGGGGAGATGGTGTCTAGAGATTGGGGCACAGGAGCTCCTTGTCTCTTCCTCCACACATTTAATCTATTCCTAGTCAAAGACCTAGTCAACACTTTAGCTCTATCCCAAGGCCAGGAAATTAAAGTGCATATTTCTCTTTATCTTTAATAGACAGAAAAAAAGAGTAGGCAAATCACATAATCGCACTTTACAATTTGCTATATAACACTATCTGAAAACTCTTAGGGACTATAGTCCTTGCGTGAGAATCCCAGACCAAATCTAGAAAAAAAATTCAGTTTGCATCTACTGCTGCCCCAAACGACAGTCTTGCTCTAAGAAGGGCCTAGAGATAGGTGGGGGGGGGCAAAGTAAGGGAACCCACACATTTAATTAAACCATGTATGCAAAAAGTAAGAGGAGCCATGTTTCTTCTGAAGCTTACGAATAAGATGCAACCACACCTCAGTGCTGCCCAAAGCCTGCAGAGACTGAGTTAGGCTCTGTTCACAAATTCGCCTGGGGAGAGCACATCTTCACTTGGTCCATAGTAAACTGCACAGGAAATGCTACCATGCAAAACTTGGAAATGGGTAACTAAAAGTCACATATGCCAAGGAAACCATAACAACTGCCAGGGCTACATGCACTTTCAGGCAGAATAGCCCCATTTCAGACACAGCCCATCTGAACTGAGCATCTGCAGCCACATGCACAACAAACGCTGGGAAGAACCAGGGCAGCTTCCTCAGCCAGTCAGCCAACCCCAGGGGTGGCCAACATCTTTGGATTTGAAAGAAAGCTAAGAATAAGTAGGAAAAAAAAAAAAACCTTCTAACCGAAATCACACAAATACCAGGCCACAAGGTTACCAGAGAGGGAACCAACATGATAAGGGAGGGGAAATCCCAACCAATTTTCTCACACATTTGACTTTCAGAATCCTTAAACACAACGACCGACCCTTAAGCTAGTGGCCAGTTCAACAGTTATCTGCGAAGGAACATGTAAAATTACTTACGTGTCATAATTATCTCGAAATCCTTTTGCAAAGGGGTTGTGATCTATTTTTAGTTGTGTAATCTGGAGAAAGAGAAGAAAGGGTGATTGTGATCTCACCTTCTGCATGGGAAGGTTGTGTGTTTGAGAATATATCATCTGCCATTGACAGGGGCTTGGGCCTACTGAGTCATTAAACAGCAAAGGTTCTCTAGCAAAACTTTAAGAGCACAGCAGGAGAAGAACAGCAATAAGTATTGGGAAAGTTGTGGTGTGGAGCCGGGTTTAGATTAATAAGACCCAATAGCATTTCAGTTAGCTCTCCTGTGTGCTATAAGTTGACTCAAATAGTCATTAAAAAATACTGACTGCGTGCGATGCACCTAGACAAAAATCCTTAATATCTTTAACTCTGTACTGTTTTCAAGCGTTTAACCACAGATATTTTTTAAATGGGCCAATTCTGGTTCTCGATTAAAAAAAATAAGACTGTAAACTGCATCTTAAAATTGGGTTGATTTGAAATAATTATTCCCATTTCTGATATATTGACTTATATGACCAAACACAAAACTTTTATAGTTCTAGAGAGTCACCTCAGTTTTTGCAAACATGCAAAAACTGCGAAAGTTCTAGTGCTAGCAAACTCCATTAGTCCCAGTAACTTGATTTTATTGGAGATTTCACATAGCGTATCTACGAATGTGTATGTACTCTCTTTCCTGCTCTGAACTCCCAAAACAGTAATATCTATTCATTTTAGACACCGGCTATGAGATTTTAGAAACGTTTTGTTTTAGATTTTCTAACTTGCTAATAAAATGCACCGGGTAGTTCTGCCTATTTCCTGAAAGCGAGATTTCTCAAAGGAAGAAAATGCACGTTTTGAAGTGTTCTAGTTTAAGGACCAAACTCAAGCTCGGAAAAAAATCGGTCCTAGAAGTCGTGTCCACCGCACAGCTGGGGGTAGGGGTGGGGCCGTCACGGGGTTGGAAGTACACAGGCAGAGCTTCCCCCACCGGCTAGGTATTTGGGGGAGGGTCTGACAGGTGCCTAGCACTGTCCTAAGCCGTGCTGTAGGGCCATTTGTGGCCAAAGCTAATCTGCGCAGGGTGAAGGAAGACCAGGGGATAAGGGGGTGCCACGTGCCCGCGCCCAGCCCTGAGCCTCCTTACATCGGTGTTCTGGTAGGCGGTGACAGCGATAAACTGAGTCTCCGGGAAAGTGAACGTCTGGACGCGGCCAGGCTGGCTGGTGTCCTCTGTGCCATCCTCGTTCACTTCTACCACGTGCAGACGGGGTTGGTACTTGTGCAGGGACTGTAAAACCACCATCTGTCCGCGAAGAGAAAAGAGAGCGCCTTTTAATGCGTGCCTGTTCGCACCAGCCCGGGGGCTCGCTGTGGGCCGGGTTGAGCCAACTGGAGGCCCTTGCACCAGACTGGCTGTGGGACTCTCCCGGTGACGGGTGGCCTAGACACACTGACCCGGATCTCTGGGATCCAGGCTCCTCTCTGGGCACTGGGAAAACGAAGCCCTTATGCCAATCATCAGCCCCTTTGCCCTAGTCCTCCTTAGAAGAGGAACAAAGATTTTTCACAACCTACAAATCTCAAATCTCGTGCGTTTATTTTCCAATACAATTCTATCAGTATTTGTGTTTGGAAAGGTGAATTCCAGAATGAGGTCGGGTGGAAGGTAAAAACAGCAACTTAATGAATTAAATATAATCTGGGGAGGAAGAAATTATTCTCGAAATCGTCACAGATGGAAGCAAATCCTATCCAGTTTTCCGTGATGCTAGAAACTAAAGAAGGATGAGAGAGAGAGGGTGTGTGTGTGTAAGAGAGAGAGAGAGAGAGAGAGAGAGAGAGAGAGAGAGACACTGACCTGCCCGTTGTTGTTTGATGCTCCCTTGTTGTTGGTCAGCTTTAGTTTTCCAAAAGAGATTTCTTGCCGCATCCAGTGAGCCCCAGTGTTGGGGGAATCCGGATGCATATAGACCCGGTTTCCTTGATAAAGAAATAGTTTGTTTACATATGTTCTGGGCACTGCCCAGTTCCAAGTCCTTAGTACATGATACACACACACACACACACACCTTACTACACAATAAAGCCCATTAGCTGTTTGGGGGGGGGGAGGGCATACTTTCTTCTATTAACCGGATATTATTAAAATAGGTTTACTGTCCAGGCCCCAACTCTATACCACATACCACACACACACACACACACACACACACACACACACACACACACACCTTCACACTGAGGACCATTAGCTGGGCTTTTTTTTTTTAAATCGCTATTTCTTCCCATTAAGTGGGAATGATTAAAATAGCTTTTGCATAATCCTCCCCTTTCTAGCGCTCAGTCTGTCCCCATCCCTCTCTTCTTTGGGAAGTCATTGGCTGACCGTTTTAAAAGTCGCTCGAGCCAGTCCACAAAGGCTTTAATTAATCATTCTCACCTAAATAAGTGTCAAGAAAACGTGTTAATTGGAAGGACTTGCCTTGCACATTGGTGTCCGCTTTGCCACAAGGAACCCATTTGCCTCCTTGAAACCTCCAGTGATTGGGATCCGCCAAAATCACATCCACAAAAATATTGTAATGAGCGGTGGGATCGAGACCAGAAATGTTAAAACTCAAAAAGGGAAACATGCGCCTGTTTAAATGAAAAAGGGCGAGAAAACAAGGAAAAAAGAAAATAAATGTTAGAGATTAAATGCAAGAAGCGGGGCGCCAGATAGCCAAGCAAAACTTGTCCTCGCAGTGTGTTTGAACGAATATTTGCTGCTATAGAAAAGGGGTAATGGGAGAGGGGAAGACGTAGTGCCGAAGCCGAGGACAGAGCAGAGTGCTCTGCGGTTGGGGGGGCCGGCAGGTATCAGTGCTAGGGTGAAGAGCGGGGTTGACCTGCTTCTCCACCTTGAAGAGCTGCTCTAATGCCTGGCTGCAGCCGCGGCTCTTCGTCTGGCTCTGTCCACTGACTGACTCTCCGACCGCACTAGTACAGCAGACTCCCCGCCACCAACATCACCATGGCGGTTTTTATCCCTTCCACTTTCCCCTTTTCCAAAACCAGCCAACTCCAGGGCGCACCCGATCGCCTTTCCACTCCGCTCCCCGACCCCACATCGTCGCTGCCCGGCGGTCACAACTTGGGTGCTCTCGCCCAGGGTCACGCCTGGAACAACGGCAGCGAAAAAAAAGTAGCATTACCTTCCCTGTTTAGTGATGATCATCTCCGTTTGATGCCGATGAAATTTCAGCCAAAGTGGCCTGTTGCACAGGTATACCTGCGCCTTGCCCGGCACCAACCCGGGCTGGGTGGAAGAGAACTGGTAGAACGGAGCTCCTTGGTAGGAGTGGCCGTACTGCTGTGGGTAGGGGTAGCCGGCCGTAGGATAGCCCTGCGGCGAGGAGTTGGACAGCAGGCTGTTGTAAGCTCCGTTGGTGATAACCGGGTGGTGGGCCATGTAGCGGCTAGGGCTGCCGATGGAGAAGGCGGGATGCGCCGGTCCGTGCTGGCCGGGGTACGGGAACATGGCACTGGGAGCAGTGGCCGCAGACTGTGGCTGGCTGGACTGAGAGAGGAGGTAACGATCGGCAGCAGAGCCATCGAAACTGTGACGAAGCTCAGAGACCCCGTCCAAGACAGGAGAGAGTTTACTTCTCTGGACGTCCCCTGGTGAGTCCTTGGAGTCAGGAAAATTGTCTGGATCTGACTGATTCGTCATCCCCCTGGTAATTTTTTTCAAAGGTGAACTTCTCTCCAGGTTGTCAGTGGTCGAGATAATGGGATGATCGTGCAAGACAAGCTCAGATCCGCCCGAATGTGGGTAGCTGCTGCTCACATTGAGAAATTTCTTGGAGAGCATGATAGACGGAGAGAGGCAGTGCTCCAGCTGCATAGCTCTAGAACCTGAACGCTCGCCCTCCCGTCCCTGGGTTTTAAAGTCCTGTTTATCATAAACTAGGAATCCACAGACCCCTCACTAGACAGAAAGCACTTCAACCAGCAAATGCTTCTCAAAGGTTTGATTTACTTTTTTTTTCCCCTGGGAGAAGAGATTGGCCAATTGACACTATGCAGCAATCAGAAAAGGCTCACTTTTGATCTTGCTGCTTATGCAGCCGATGAAACGGCTCCTGCCATTGGTTAGCTGCTGACAGTAATTTAATTAGATAGACATTAATTAGGATAATCACCTGGCTCCTGGTCGCGACGATCATGGCAAATTGAAGGGGATGATTTTATTGTTGGCTTGGGGGTGGGGAGGGGAAAGTGTGTTGGTTTACGTGAGCTCTGTTATGTCACCTTTAAGCTTTGTGACCACTGCTTTAGGAAGATTCAAAGATGTGCAATTTACTAAACATTTCCTAACCCCCCCCCCCTTTCTCTCTTTAGAGAGGAGGGGCGGAGGAGGGAATTCGATGATGCTAGGAGACTTTTCGGATCTGAATGAGCCAAATATTCAGTTGAATGTAACGATTTCAAGTGCAAAGTATACAAAGCGCGAGCCGGTGGCCTCTTCTCGCCCTGTAAAACTTCCAGAGTCTGTCTTTTCCAGTTAATACACAGAAGCACATACACCTGAGTCTGTGCTTTGTGTGTAGGTACTGCGTGTCCTTGACGCCCCCTCCCCCACCTTTAAACCGCAGGACTAAATAAATAAATAAACAAACCTCCGGTGCTGAAAGCTTCAGCCCTAAGCTGGAGAGAGGAGAAGTGGAGGCGAAGCAGCTCACCCACCCATCAACCCACCTCGGGAAGGTTCGGTTTCCGGCTGGGGTACAGAAACAGTGACAATCTATGATCTCCTTTTTAAGTTTTGAAATAATCATAAGCCGCCGCACCGAAGTGCCTTAATGTATTTGCAGTCATGTTTACTGGGTCGTTACTAAATATTTTATCAGCCAACTTGGTTGCAGATCATCTGAAGAGCAGCTAGCTGGGGGCGGGCGCCATGTATCCTTTGAGTCCCACCGCACTTCCTCCTTTCGAAGGAGGCCCTGGCTTGGTGACAGGTTCATAAGCCTCGCCAGGAAAAAGAGAGGGCTGAATCCCCAGTGCAAATGGGTTCACTAGAAGCGTTGATCTGGGGAGACAGAGTGGAAGTGGTGTCAACGCAGTGATCTTACTGAACTCGTGTGTGTGTGTGTGTGTGTGTGTGTGTGTGTGTGTGTGTGTGTGTGTGTGTAATGTTTACATAATCCAGAGGGAGAGAAAAAGAATCCATGCCAGTAATTTTGGATTAGAGAAAAGAACCGGTTTAAAGAGATTTTGCACAATAACACCAAGCAACTCCGAGGTGTAGGGAAAAAAAGATCTCCCAGTACCTACTCCACAGGAGGCCAGCCTCAAGCCTAGAGCACCTGAGATCAACGACCCCAGACCTGCTGCGTGGGGCCAGGCATTGCCAATCTGCTCTGTAGCTTTCCTCCCTGAAGGCGGTAGGCACAGGAATGCGGAGTCAACACCGGGCTTAGCTCAACTCGGGCCAGCAAGGTGGTCAAGAGGCGACGGGCTCCCGGACACTTAGGGAGCGCCAGGCGATCATGTCAGGCTGGGACCACAAAGGCTCAAACTCCACCCATAAGGCACACAGGTGGAGCATCTGTCTTCAATCCAGCCGCCCGAGTATCCCTGGCCAGAGCAGCAGCGTTCAAGGCTGGAAACGTGGGGTGGGACTTGGGTATGGTCAGAGAAGAGTTAACAGATTCGGGATGTGGTGGAGTTTAGTAAACAGCCAGTCGGCCAGTGCTGAGCCTGTGCTGTGCTGCCACTGGCTGCAAGAAGGTACCAGTTTTGGCCTCCTAAGGGTGCAGGAGCAAGGCCCAGCACTGGTGGCCATAGGCAGGACAAGTTGATGATCAGATGTCTCAGAATCAAGAAGCAATTTTCTGGGAGAAAAAAATAACGCCAGACCCGTTTTCCCTTTGAAAGCAAACCTCAGGTCCTGGCCAGAAAGCTTCTTAAACAGGCAGGATTTTAGCTGTTCAGGCATTGGAGCACCGGGTTAGTGGTGGTGATGAAAAGCTAGGATGGTATTTGATGTTTTCTTCCCTTAATTTTTGCTGCCACTTTCGCCCCATTTAAGTTGCTTGTGTGTTCTGTCTTTGAATCCCTCGCTTCTTTCACCAGGTGCCTCTCTCTCTCCTGATTCTTACATCATCTTGCCCCCTGAGCATGACACAGAGTCTTAAGTTCACATGAATGGGAGATATCAAATAAGCTTTGGACACCTTAAAAAATACTGGCTCTTAAAAACATAAGGAATGCCAAAGTGACCAACAAAGTGTGAAGATTGAAAAGGTATGTGCCTTCCCTAGAAATTGAATTTGGAGGTGAACAGGAACTGTGACCCACTTTCAATAATCAGCCCAAAATTCAGTGGTTCCTTGTATATACGTTTTGCCTTGAACTTTGTGTATATTCACAAGGAAATGGGGACTCTCGACAGAAGACTGGGTGGGACTTGGACTGTAGCACTGGTCCAGGCAAATCAGTTTCAATAGTGTGCAGTTTTATCTCTGCACTAATAACACGGGGGTTTGTTACTAGACTATCTTTAGCTCCTCATCACCTCTGTTGGGGGTAGGGTGTATCTAGCTCGTGTTTAACAAGTTGGTTCAACGCCTAATGTGCCTAGGGTATCAGGCTGCTGGTAAAATGGTAATATATTGCTAGACAAAGGTATTTGCTAAGTGTCTATTAGGACGACCTGATTTTGATCAACTTAAAAATATTTTTAAAAAGACATGATTACCAAATTAAAAGATTGTGCCAAGGTACTGAAACTGATAGTGTTTCCAACATAAAGCAGGCAGGAAGAAGTGGTCTGTGGCTATTTGAAACCAAGGAAGTCCACAAGGTCAAATAAGAGCAAGGCAGGGAGGGCAATGTAAGCCTTCCTAGTCACAGAATTTAGTGATTCAGGGATTCTCAGGAAACTCAACCTGAATGCCGAGTCCAGCCCTAGAAATACTGAAGCTTTTTCCCCCCGAGGCCACTCTATTTAACACACACACACACACACACACACACACACACCCTAGTTCTCCAATATCTGTGAAAATTGTCATTGAACCTAATTATAGTGAAAACTCTGTATCTAAAAAAATCATGCCCTTAAGTGTGGATTAGTCAAGAGAAAATTCTACCCATTTATTTTAATTTTAAATAATTAGATGCAATGCCAATAACTTAATGTTGCAGTTAACAAAATACTATATCTAAAAGAAACTATAAGACAAGAAATAACCAGAACATATCATTCCACAAGAGACAGACAGACAGACTGACTGACTGAAAGATGCTGGGAACGTAAGACAATTCTACCTTCGGTTTCTGACAGTCATCAGAGGGGAAGAGTATAAACACAACTGTGGAAATATCTGGTATTTGGGTATACTATGCATGACATGCATGCTACCCCTAGTGAAGCCTAACGTTAACCAGTAAGTACAACCCTCCTTTCACAGAGTTAGAAAAACTTTCACCATATTTGCACAAGGGTACAACCTAGAATTAAATCTGTCTCCATACTGTTAGCTACTACTGGGGGTATTCAGTAAATTGCTTTTCAGTAAGTATTTATTATATAAGGGGATATGACTATGTATTTTCTTTATGTGAGAAGCTATGAGAACTGCCAATAAGCCATACTATTATACCTAACACTGAGTACTTCAACGTTAATTCGGGAAACAACTATTGTTTATACACTCATGACATTCAATTCACACCAGCATTTATTTATTTATTTATTTATTTATTTATTTATTTATTTTCTATGCCTGGGCTACATGAAAATCTACTGGTGTTCCCAGCAGTCAACTTCTAGACAGTTTCAAAATTGTTTGTAGAATATACTCTTCAAATTGTGAGTTTAAAATTGCCCACCTTTTAAATGAACTTTTCTGAAATCCTGAAAGTGTAATATGTTAAGATATGAATAAATAATGCTGGTTTGAGAAAAAGGCTTTTAAAAAAAAACAATATTTATCTGGGTTACTCACTAATGAGGAAGCCACTCACTAATGGCGATCACTAATTTGTGAAGTTTTGTTATCACAGTGATGCTTCATGTGTTATAAGATTTCAAAACGCGATGAGAAACATAGCTTTGTGTGAGATTTCCAAAGTACTGTCAAATGTTATTCTGTCACTTCCACCCAGTGCCAAAAAGACCTCGGGAGACATGGATTGTAAATGTATTTTATTTTGTAAGCAACAATCAAAATATATTTGTGCTACTGATTTTTTCAAATAGTAAATGGGGTCTTAACAAAATTTGTCCACTTTGATGTATTCCTGAACAACTTTGGAATCTGCAAACCCTGACTAAATAACCAGAAGCAGCTGCACAACGGGGATGGAGGTGGTACAGGTGACTCCATGCCACCACATCACCTGCAGAGCTCCACTGTGAGCAGTAGGACAATGAAGGAAGGACACTGAGAGTGTCACTGACAGCTCTCTAGGTTGCTTTATTTAAATACAACAGTATCCAACATTGCTGCCAAACACTGGACAATATTTGAAGTCATAAGCACATCCACATGTTCTTCCAAATGACGTTTGGGATCCTAAAAGGAAAAAAGTAAAAGAAGAAAAAGATAGCTGTGTTACTGGTAAACTAATTTTTTTCCCAAGAGCAGATTAAATTAGTAATGAAGCCTAAATTTACACATATTTTACCACTCAGCTTTTCCAACACATTGTTACATTCTTGATTGAGGCTTCTAAATTTGTTAAACGGAAACTAAAAGAATTACCCAATGAAAGACAGATTTATGCAATCAATGCTAGTTATAGATAAGTTCCACAGATTTTCAGAAAGGGTAACAGGTAAAACTCACCTGTTTTTTAAAAGGTGCATTTATGCATTTATATATGCATGAGTACATTCTGTCATTAACATATTTTAATGTCTGATGAAGGTTTATTTAAGGTATAGGTAAGCAGGTAATGTGAATAATATAAATAGTAAAAAATAAATTCTGTAAATCTTAATATTTCAAGAGAATTATTCAGAAATAT